CCTCCAAACAGCTAAAAACCCCTGATCTCCGTCATGGGGTGGGTTGCGACTGCTACCGTCTAGGTTGGACATGACTGAGTGAATTCCCTGCTCTGATACCACCTGACGTAGCGTGGAAGCAATGGAAAATCAGAGCTGGCTATGCAAGCACCGGGCGAACCTAGTTTCTAGCGAAACTACACGATTTCTCTAGGAGAGAGAAAAGGTGGCAAAAATTGAAGAGGAAATCTAAAGAAATTCTGAAGTATGAATTGATTATTAATTTTGGGAAAATAGTAGTATTTATAATACATTTGAAAATTGTAAAAGAACTAGGAAACAACAACTAGGATAGATCCAAATATCTAATCTGATAGGATCGAACTCTCCTTGGTTTGATCTCCACCGTCTGATCTCCCTAGATGCATGAATCTTGGATTATCTTGCTAATCTTGATGCTTCTTGGAGTCTTTCTTGATAATCTTGGAAGAGTCTTGTTTTATCTTGCTAATTTTTGGAAGAGTCTTGCTTTATCTTGCTAATCTTGGATMAGTTCTTGCTTATCTTGAATTCTTGGACTTAACCATATCTTGAATTGACCTTATCCTAGGAGCTGCCGCCCCTAGGGGTGAGATGGGCCTTGTGATGGGCCTCCATCAATAAGGTTAGCTACGAATTATTTAATAATCAAATTCAGTACCTAAGGTTTTCAATACTGAGTCCACATTATTTGAAGCTTCTGCCATGGGTAGGCACTGTTGTGTATCAACATGTTCTCCGTCAGCAGCATCCCAAAAAACATAAGAAATAGAGAGAGAGAGAGAGAGAGAGGACAGTTTTTTGAGAGTGTTTGAGGCTGTTGATCATTGCTCTAGTTTAATTTTAATGAAGAAGACAATGAACAGTGTTTTCTTTAAAACGTAGAAAATAATGAACAATGTCTTCTTTAGAAGGGTAGTTTTGGCATTTTTAAAAATTTTAAGTGGCAAATGTCATTATGAGATACAGATAACTGACGAACATTAACGGCAGGGACGTATTAGACACATTCTAAAAATTTGAGGTATTACATAAACACACTTTGAATTCCGGGGACTGACAGGAGACAACCTTTAAAATTTAGGGTACTGATCAGAAATTTTCCCAAGAGCTTATCTTTGCTTTATTAGGGGAAAAATGATATTACATTCTTCCCCTTCTATAACTAGGTTCTTTTTAAAAGCTGTATAAAACCATAGTCTAGATCTAGAGATCCTAATAGGACTAGGTCCTAAAGACAAGCATAAATAGTAACTTGTTTCCCCACACTATTGTTTGCATTCTTCATGCATGGTCGTAAAAAATCAAACAAGACTATTTCTTTGGTTTTAAATAAATGGTTTTTTTAACCCAAGCTTTACTCCCGTTGGAGGGATGATCATCATAAAATTTTATAAATGGGTTTTATTACCTAGAAAATGGCCTCTAGCAACAAAGGGCATCGGAAGCTCTCTTCATTAGCAATTGTTTTTAATTTTTTCATCAAAGAAGTATCTGATATAACATATATGTTTAGGCAAAATGTTATGCCCATCTCCTAGATAAAGGAATTGATGAAATATGCTTGCTTAAGGTGAAGGTTGGTAATTCCCAAATTCCTAGAGATTAAGCTCGTTTTGTACAGGAAAGATAATTTGTTTTGTCTTTTCTTCTTTTTGGGTGAGCATGAAAAGTCCTCCCCTGTTCTTTCAAGTTTTTCTTTTGAAAATGGTTAATAAAATCTTTATGATTTTGCAATTTATCATTAGCATCTGTTGTGGATCTTACGAAAACCAATTGGACAAATAGCTCTATCAGCCCTTGAATTGGAGTCATTCTCGGATTCATCAAAGGTCCAGCTCTTTGAGACTAAAAATGGATATAAAAGAAGTGAATTAGAGATTAGATTTTCTCTTGTAAAGAGATACAACTCAATTATTTATACTTGCCTTGGCTTAAGGTTCAGGCCAGTAAGTAGTAATGTATCAAACCCCTACCAATGGTTTTTGAAATAAAAAAAACAAAAAACAGAAAAAGAAAAGATACCAACTTGATTAATGCGTTCTTTGTTTATTATTTTTTTGGTAATAAAAGGGAGAAATTTTATTTAAAGTAAGAAAAAAGCTATACAAAAGAGGGAGGTACCCAACCTAAAAAAGGTCACACCCTAACCAAAGGCAATCAATCATAGAGAGAGATAAGAGATCAGCCCAACAAACCAACCAACCCAAACTAAAGATGGGGATCGATAACCCTACCAAAAAAAAGTATGTATTAAACCCAAACATAATTCAGCCGATATCATATCTCCGCCCCACAAGCGGCTGCCCCACAATGTCCCGCAGCACATTTCCATCGTGTATTGGGAATATCTCCCAATGATGACATCATCGGAATTAGTACTATTATTGGGAGATGTTTCCAATACACGATAGGATGTGCTATGAGTTAGAAATGTGAACTCGGTCTCAATTCAGCCCATCAACCAATAAAAAAGAAAAAAGGTCACACACCTTGATCAAAAGGCAATCCCAAAAGTAGTTCAACCCACCCACCCAACCAGCCCAAACAAGGAAAAATAACAAAATATACCAGACCAAACCAAGAGCTCCAAGAAATAGGCCTTCAAATACAAAAAGGAAAAATGGATCGTCAAACCATCAGAAGTCAGAACCAAGGTCAATACCAATGGGCCCAAAGAAAAGGCTTAAGTCGAGGTTCTACTCTGCCCCTACCTCTAAGGCTTAGTCGTGGAAAGAGAAGCTCTCTTTCAGTTTCAGTACTGTTGATGATAGTCACCATCAGAATTAAAGGGTAGTTTAATTGTCAAGAGAAGACTTGCACTGCTCCGGGTTCCTTACCAACCTGTTACACAAGTCCCGCGGTGCTGACTTTGTGTATGTGTTTTTTTGTTTTTTTTTTCTCCAATTGATTCCCATAAATCATAAGTCAAACTTAAAGAGGCTTTCCATTTGTTGGTACCGATAGCATGGTTTTCAAAATCGGACCGGACCGGACAGTCGGACCAGAAAAATCAAGAACCGGTCATGGTTTCATTTTCTCCCAAAACCGTTGATTTTGGTCAGAAAATCGTTGAACCGACTAATTAATCATTCGAATGGTTTTGACTGTTTTCCAATGTTTTAATTTTTTTAAATTTTTTTATTTTTTTGTCAGAATGGGTTAACCGTTTGGGTCGAACAGTTGGACCGTTCGAACCGGTAACCGGACCCTTAACCGGTTCGGTCACCAGTTTGTTTTTAAAAACCATGACTGATAGTTTCATTTGCATTGGCATAGATACATGGAACGTAATGTATTAAAAAATGACCTGGAATCAGAACCATTAAGGAATTATGGCCACCGGTTTCTATGTTCATGGTTCGACCGCCCTGGTTGAACGGTCAAAGACCATTCTGATAAAAATTAAAAATTAAAAAAAATGGCCAAAAACCGTTGAATGGTCGAACGGATCGATAGTTCAACCACCTAGGTCAACAGGCCATTGACTGATCCAGTGGTTTTTGGCTAGGGAACGGGCTTAGGATAAAACAGAACTAGTTGCCTTGATGGTTCTTAGGCTGAACGGTCTGACTGTCTAGGTCAATAACGATTCGAAAACCATGATGGAACAAACTGAGGGGTGGCTCCATACGGTTTGTTCAATAGAAAGGGGGATTCAATTCCTACAACCACTGACTTTGGGGAATGGGGAATGGGGAATGGGGTTATTAGCAAGGTTTTAAAAACTGGACTGGACATTGAACTGCTTTGGAGACTGGTTCCTGGGTCAAACGGTCTGCCTTCTAGTTCGAAGGAACAACTTATTTTTACTTAAAAAATAAATAATTAAATAAAAAATTATCAAAAAACATTATCCAAGTCGATAGGTCAACAGTTCAATTACCCAGGTCAATAAACCACTGACTAAATGAATAATTTATGGCTTAGAAACGGTTTTAAGGTGAAATGGAACCAATTGCCTAACCTATTCTCAGATAAACTGGTCCGATCATCCGGTCCAATCCAATCCAATTTTTAAAGTGATTATTAGTGCGGTGATATGCTTTTCAAACAGCCCCTACGAGGGGATTCGGGCAATCACCAAAATACCTTAAAAAATACACGGAACATGATTCAAAGTATCATACATATCTGTTTTTGAATCCACCAATATGCTAAATACTAGAAATTAGGGCATGTGAAGTTTTGAAGAGTAATACCCTTTCTAAAGATGTCTTGGCATAATTCTTGGAAGTTTTAACATATTTCAGCATGTAGAAATATGTTCGAGTGTAAATAAAAACTCTCTTAATTATAAGTTATAATATCTTTTTGTAAGAAATAAAAGTAAAATTTTCATAACAAAAATATGGTCAAATATTCTGGCTTGAAAAGTTAAACAAATTAAATTAAATGAGATTCAGTCGGCAAGTCCAAGACTTTCAATAGGAGGGGTAAAATTGGCATCAAAATTAGACTCTGTCAACCAGACCCAAAGCATCATTCTGTCCTTTTTCACCTCACCAAAAGGGTTTCTTTCGATTGGGAGAAAGGAGAGAAGGGTTTCTTTCTATGGATTAAACTCAGAGCACCACTCTAGGCACACGTACCCAACCCAATTAAGGCTTATGGATCAAGGCTGCAGGCTTGCAACTTAACCCGACCCGCTGACATCTCAACTTTACTGCTATTTAACTACTCTAACTCTCTAAGGCCGTGGAATGCAAATCAATGTAGAATCTGTAGGAATCAAAGGAATGGGATAATGACTCCAGAGAGAAAGAGAAGGCACTCTTCTAACTCTGACCCATCAATTGACGTAAATATACCGGCAAATTGAACATTTTATCCGAATTGTGGTATCACTTATTTACTTGTAATAAAAACTAATAAATTAATACTAATTATTCCAACCATATTCATATAATCATTTTCACACACATATACACTTAGTCATACCCATGCCCATTCATTCAGAACTGCGTCTATATAAGTTGGTGAATCTCTTCTTTCTCCCCACTACTCTGCTTGGTTCTAAGTTTTTCTCAGTTCCGAACAGACTGTTGAACCCAACAAATTGAAGGGCTTTCCGAATTCTGATCTCTCTGGTAAGTTGTTTCGTTAATCTATATATTGTCTAACCCTAATTTTCTTTCAATCATCTAGCTTTTAGCCCACCGCTAAGATGATTAACGGCCGGCTGATGGGGTTAAAAGTAACAGAAATGGATGTGGGTAGAGGCCTGGATAAGAATCGAGTTTTTCATGAGTTTTTCAGAATTCAACTCATCAAAAGTTCAATTTGATTTGGTTTAAATCGAGTTTTGAGTCAAGATCAAACTCAATATGTAGGTTTGTTTGTTAATTGAAACAAATTAAATATATCTCCTGAGGTTGGTGAGACTTAACGAGCTTATATTATATATATAATATTTTTAATTTTTATATATAATAAAAAATAATATTTTATATGTATAATTCTTAATTTTGTATATAAAGCTTAGTAAACTATTGAGTTCGAACCGAGTGAAACTCAAACATACCAGCTTTTGAGTTGAGCAAAATTCGAATTCATGTTTTTAATTCAAATTGAGCTCCTTCCAAATTCAAGCCTAAAGTTTTTTTGTCGAGTCAAGCCAAGCCAAATATCTGTTTGAATAGCCAAATATTCAGCTTATATATGCTCCAATCCACCCCTAAATGTGGGATCAACCGGCTTTTCCAACGCCAATTTCCCTTTTCTTCCAAATGCTAACTTCCACTTTTGAGGGAAACGGGAAGAATTAATGATTAGTTTCATAGAAAATCCTTAATTTCAAGAAGTAAAATGGGTACAAGACTAATTTCTTGTTTTGCACACACAAATGAATTATTATTTTCTGTTTCCACAGATTCGTCTTTCATGTAACAGAAAATTAATGATGGGAAATGTTTGCCTGTTTGGAGTGATATCAAATGCCTTTAGAGATTTCAATACATGAGCCTTTCTTTCTTCACCTCTTCTTCAATTCTCTCTCTCTTCCCCCCTTCCCCCTGATTTTTGGGTAAATTATCAAGACATTCTTTTGTTCTGCGAGGTCTAGGGGTGTAAATGGATCGAATTCGAATCGGATCAGGTAATATTTAAATTCGAATCCAATTAGAAAATTCGATATCCGAATTCGATTCAATATCCAATGAATATTGAAAATTAATATCCAAATTTTAATCCAATTAAAAAATCCAATATCAAACCTAATGCATTTTATTTTTATCTATTTCCGTCATATGGGTCGTTTTTTCCATCAAAATAACTTACACGTAAAATTGGGTCATTTGTCATTTGTAATGCTTTTGCATCTGCCACCTCTTTAATATTTTCTTTTATTCCACCATTGGCTTCACATGTTAGTATGTAAAACTTTTATTTGACTAAAGACATTAAGGAAAAAGGTATAATATCCTTATGTTATTAACTAGTTATTATGAAGAAATGTAGCTTCTAACCACTACTCAAATACAATAATTTTCAAATCAATAGTTTATTTTATTTTTATTGCCACGCTAATGTGAAAAGACATAAATACCCTCGGCCATGTTTGGGAAAAGCATGGTGAGGGTATAATTAAGAGCCCATTTGGAAAGGCTTCTGAAATGATTGAACTGCATTTTCTGTCCCACTGAGGGGAAGTTGCTTGAGATAGCTTTACCTGATAGTCAATTGTGCAACACTTATTGTAAGCCTATTTTCAACTTTCTGAGTTTTTACCAAATACAGCTTTACAGTGATCCAGGCTCCTCACTTCCAAATGGGCACTTAATCTACTTGCAATAGTATCATTAGAATCCCCTCCATCCATGGTTTGTTTTATAAATTCAGTTAATGCTCTGTTTGGAAAGAGTACAAATATTAAATATGTACACTGCAAAGGTATAGAAATACTTTATACAAGGTTTTGCATTGAATATATTTGTATTTACACACTTCCCAAATCGATCATAATTAAAGAAAAATTAATACTATTTGTTTCATAATATGGGTTGTGATCACTGATCAGGATAGAGAAAGTGAGCTACCATGTGGAGGCTTAAGATTGCCCAAGGAGGTGGCCCCTACATGTACAGCACCAACAACTACGTTGGGCGACAGACTTGGGAGTTCAACCCCGACTATGGTACATCAGAGGAGCGTGCTGAGGTTGAAAAGGCTCGTGATGAATTCACCAAAAACCGTCACTGTGTCAAGCCCAGCGGTGATGTTCTTTTGCGTTTGCAGGTAGTATTCTCTTTCTCTCTATCTATATCTATCTATCTACCTAGCTATCTATATAGATCATTCACAGTCCACATATCGATTATATTCTCACACTTGTCATCCACTTCTCTACTCTTTGCAAGCATTTCAGAGCAAGGTTTGCATCAGTTATCAGACGTGACCAATTCTTAGATGGTTCAAAATAAATTAAAACAAGAACTCATTAGCAATGCAAGAAAAAATATCAATCACCCGATAAATGAACCGGTCTATTCTATCTTAAATGCAGTTCCTTGTAGGTCATGGATTATTTATCAAGTTATTATTATCAAACGAGACCCATTAAGAGTTTACATCTATTAAGCTAGATGATAGGATTTGAGTAGGGCTGGTAATATTATTTGATATGATACCTTAACATTATTTGAATATAACATTAAGTTTGTGTGTTTAGGTTGACCCACTTAATTCAGATTGACCCACTTAATTCAAAGATGACCCGTCCTTTATGATCCAAAGTTTTAAATTTTAAATCATGTATGTATGTTAATATTTCAATGAAATACTATTATGGTAGGTATGATATTGAATGGTTTTTATGAATTTATTTCGATAATCAATTATTAAATATTTATTTTATTATTTAAATAGGTTAATTTAAACATGTTGATTGTGTTGATTTTGTATTAATTCAGGCTACACATATAAGTATTAAATATGTTAATTGTATTAATTTGTGTTATGTGGGTCATGTCATGTTATGATAAGTTGACATGATTAATAAATTGACATGTCATGTTAAAAATTTGACATGATTAATAAATTGTATTGTATTTGGGTCGACCCATATATTTTAATATTCCTACCTAATATGACATGAGAATACAAATTAGCACCCTTTGGTTTGAGTCTAAGGCTCAGTTTGGAAGGAATACAAATACAAATATACAGTTTGCAAAACCTTGTATTTTGTATTATTATACATGTATTTGAATCGTACATATTGTATTTGTACTCCTTCCAAACTGAGCCTAAGGCGAAGCGTGGAAGTACCAATACAAATATATTTAGTTCAAATGCATAAAATAGTACAAAATACAAGGTTTTGTATTCTATAAATTTGTATTTATACTCTTAAAATAATACAAAATACAAATATATTGCAATGATTTATTTAATTAATTGACCTTCCATTAAGATCTGTTTGTATTGTCGTTTAGAAATGACTATCAAAATGACCACCTAAACCATTTGTCTGATAACAACAAATTTAATTTAGTTTAAATAGCATACACCCTAATTAACTTAGTAATTAAAAGAGTTTGTCTACATTTCATCAGGAGTCAGAACAGTATTTCCGCTTTTATTTTTCTTTTGATTGAATTTGTTCAATGTGGTGTAAATCATCATTTTTCACTTCCGTATTAACTTGATTGCAGGGTGTTTTAGTAAATGCAAACTAGAGTAAGTTTTACTAAACATATAAGTGAAACTATAGGGAGTGTTTTATGGACATATATACCACTAATCACATAAGGTGGGTGTGTGGGCCTTTAGAGAAAGACCCAATACTCATCGCTACCCTTTACTCATGAATCGTGATAGAAACCTTGACAGGTGCTCAGCACCTTTGAATTTAATGATTTCATCAGAGAGTTCTAGCTCCATATGTGATAATGAACATATTGTATATATATATTTATTGTTCTACAGCTCTTGAAAGAGAACAACTTCATTCAAACTATACCACCAGTCCGAATCGGAGAGGATGAGGAGATAAGCTATGAGGCTGCTACTGCTGCACTGAAGAGGGCCGTGCAGTTTCATTCGGCACTCCAGGCAAGCGATGGCCATTGGCCAGCTGAAAATTCGGGTTGTCCCTTCTTCCTACCTCCAATGGTAAGTTTAATATTCAACATGGTCTATTGTGCCCCTGCCAATAAAACACGTTCCAACCTTCTACCAACATCATCTTACACTTCACATCTCAGGTCCCACTTTTATGGTGGGTCCCAGTCTCATAATGAAACGTACGGTGTTAGGTTCAAGTGGTGGATCGCCATCACCTCTATTAAAATTAATGAAATTTCAAGTACAAGGTATGAGTGAGCCTCTCTTATCCACCCTTCAAGTCCGATAAGCTTTCGTGTGAGTGGGCATAATAGAATCCATTCGGGGATATATCGTAACAGCTTAAGCTTTTATGTTGAAGAGTTCATTGAGAAAGTAATAACAGATAAAGCTTTTAACAGTAAAAAAAATATTACTTAATAACGCAGGTCATGTGTTTATACATCACCGGAGATCTCAACAAAGTTTTTACTGAGGAATATCGCAAGGAGATTCTTCGTTATATATACAATCATCAGGTATATATATGAAGCAGAATTGAAACTTGGAATATATGAAACTTGATGACTTTTATATATAACTGAAGGCTCCTGCTACTATTGCAGAATGAAGATGGAGGATGGGGACTACACATAGAGGGCCATAGCATCATGTTTTCTACAGTTCTGAACTACATTTCTATGAGGATTCTGGGAGAAGGGCCTGAAGGAGGCCGAGACAGGGCTGTTCCCAGAGCGCGCAAATGGATTCACGACCATGGTGGTGCAACCTCAATTCCCTCTTGGGGAAAGACTTGGCTCTCGGTAGCTAGCTTGGACCATATACACCAATATATATACCATCTCTATAATAATACATTTGGCTCCTAACAATTTCTTTGATTATTAGCTTTGTGACTGTCGATTGATCTGGTTTCAAATTCATATTTCAGTCTGATCAACTCTTGTTTTGGTTATGGTTTATATGAGTACTGTTTCTTTAATGTAGATATTTGGAGTATATGAATGGGAAGGCAGCAACCCTATGCCCCCAGAGTTTTGGCTTCTTCCATCATTCTTCCCTTTAAGCCCAGGTTTGCATCAATTTCTCAACCAATCAGTTCTTTAATTCCAGTACAGAAGCTTAATTTAGGTGCTATTTGGCAAGTCTTTTAACAGCCCAGATAGCTAAAAGAGGTACTGAACTGTTGGGGTCTTGTCTTGATCAATACTGTTTGGTAAATATTCTGGTCTACGGCAGTCTATTGGGTTGTTAAATGAAAGAGTTTTGGCCATCTTGTGCTTTCCCCCTTGGTTTGTTTTATTTAAATTTTTGGGATCTTGGTCATTTAATATCTAGTTCTCACCTCTGTATACATCATCTTTCTTGGAATTTACAATACAGAAAAGCTATGGTGCTACTGTCGCATGACTTACATGCCCATGTGCTACTTATATGGAAAGAGGTTCGTGGGTCCCATCACACCTCTCATTCTTCAACTAAGGGAAGAGATTCACACTCAACCTTACCATAAAATAAAATGGAGTAGAACCCGCCATATGTGTGCAAAGGTTGGTTAGATTTACATCAATGCTTGTTCTCTTAGATTGAGTTTGGTTTGTAAAGGTTTCCTTATCTTTCCCTTCCTTTCCCTACCTTTTTCTTCAAACCAAACATAGCCTTAGTAAATACTTAAGTTGCATTGTTATAAGCAATTACATATATGATAAATTGTGATTGCAGGAGGATTTGTACTACCCTCATCCCTTCATACAGGACTTACTGTGGGATACTCTTTACATTCTTACTGAGCCTCTTCTAACGCGTTGGCCCTTCAACAAATTGAGGGAGAGGGCCCTGAAACAAACAATGAAACACATCCACTATGAAGATGAAAACAGTCGATACATTACCATTGGATGTGTAGAGAAGGTGATAATGAAACAAACATTAATAGCAAAATGTTGCAAATCTCAATGTTACACTTATATCACCTCTGTTCAGTTTATCTGTGGTATTTATACTGAGTCTGTTGTCTAATGCTTACTTGAATTGAACTGGCACAGCCATTGTTCATGCTTGCTTGTTGGGTGGAAGACCCAAATGGGGATGCATACAAATACCATCTTGAAAGGATTCCGGATTACATATGGGTTGCTGAAGATGGAATGAAGATGCAGGTTTGTGAACATCTATTTTACAAATTTTCATGGTTCTAGGTTGAAGATGAAACAACATAAAGGACAGTATATTGGAGGTGTTTTAAATTTAAGTGTTTCTGATTTTACTAGTTCACTTTTGTGCTTCACAAGCTTTCAAACTGTTTCAGATATATCTCTTTTTAAAGCTCTTCACTAAGAAAGGGGACTGAAGAGCTGGAATCTCTTGTGATTTGGGTCTTATTTCTTGGCTTTCTCCCACATTACCTTCGAAGATGACTTTAAGAGACATAGTTTTTGAAGAGCTTTAATTATCTAGGTCTAGGACCATACTATGTGCATCTTCAATTTGAGCCAACAATTTTGATATTCACATCCTCTATATCCTTGGTGCAGAAAATCTCTGCACCAGACCAATAGTAATCTGCCACGCCAGCCGCCTGTCTATCCCCATTTCAAAATCCAAGCGATTTTCTCCAGTTAGTGTGGCAGAATTCTATTGGTTGGTGTAGATGGTATGCAGAGGATTGGATTAGCACCATTGGGCTTGGATTAACATAGATATCGTTCCCAGTAAAATTAGTTTCATTGGTTAGAACTTCAACTTTCGGTTTAAAAATTTATGATCAATCTCCTTGTTCTATCCCCTGTGATGAAAGTGTAATCCATGTCTATGCCTTCAAATATGTTAAAATCATATTATTCAACCTTAAGATAAGTTTTAATTTGTATAAAATCATAGGCATTTCAGTTGTTAAGTATCTGATCGATGTTTTATTAGTTCTCAAGAGAGAAACAGGATTATCTATTGCAAGAATTTTACAAGTTGGCAATAAATAGAAATAACTTCTGAATGCTCAAACTTAAAAGAAAGCAACTAAAGTATTCCAATCATTCAATTAATTTCAGAGTTATGGCAGTCAATTGTGGGATACTAGTTTTGCAATTCAAGCTATAATGGCAAGTAATCTCTCTTTCGATGAAATCGGGCTTTGTCTTAAGAAAGGACATGACTACCTTAAAAATTCACAGGTTTAACTCTAATCTCCAAAATCATTTCCTAATTACAACTATCTACTCTACTTTTCTTCGTTCTAATTGCTTTCATATATATCACTTTTAACTAAGGTTCGAGAGAACCCATCTGGTGACTTTAAAAGAATGTTTCGTCACATCTCAAAAGGATCATGGACGTTTTCAGATCAAGACCATGGGTGGCAGATCTCAGATTGCACAGCAGAAGCACTAAAGGTAATTAGCTCATCAAATCCATCACTATGTACAATTTAGCCATATTCTAATGGTTTGTAATAACTGTCCTCGACCTATTGTTTTATAGGCTTGCCTCATGTTTTCACTAATGCCACCAGAAATTGTTGGTGAGAAAATGGAAAAAGAGTGCTTGTTTGATGCAGTGAATGTTCTCCTTTCCCTACAAGTAAGAATTTAAGTCATCATGGTAATCTATTTTAGTTATCAACAGTTAAACTATATTGACTTTGGATGAATTATTTGCACCATACTTTCTGTTAATTACATTTACACAGAAAAATTGATAGGGTCCTACACCAAAACAAGCCTTTCTCTGTCCCGTATCTCTATATTACAAGAAATTATTGAAAATTTCTAGAATGTTAAAAAATTATAACAAGAAAATACCCCTATTTTCGTTGCTAGAATGGAATGTAGCACTAATGTAAATAAATTATTTAATTGCAGAGTCAAAATGGCGGTTTAGCATGCTGGGAACCAGCTAGATCAGAAAATTGGTTGGAGGTAAGCTTCTTTGATTTTTAACTTCTGTTATGCAAGATAATTCAAATATCATTGGTCCATAAGCTGATTGAATAATAAATTATAATAACTATGCAAAGAAAAACCATATATATATAGAATAGATAATTATAGTAATTTGATTAATCTCTCCAAGACCTCATAATTGAACCCTATCAAGTGTTACATGAGTGATATCTCCTCAATGGTCTAGAAAATCAATTACATAGGTTGGATGGATTTCCTCACAAAGGAATACATTTAAAGAGTTAATCATGACAATAAGGTTCCCTAATTGATCTAGCTAGTTGGAGCTTCCCCAAAAAAACCTGCCTATTTCTACCATATGAATGGATTTATGGCCAATCCAGACAATCTATCAAATAGGGGGTCAACCACATTGGGTTGGCTATATGTTCAATCCCTCTACCTTCTCTGTATTGGAGGTTTTCAAAAATAGCATTAATAGTTCATAGTGTGAGATTGATTGTTCATTTAAGGAAGCTTACCAAAGCACACAAATAACAGACCCTTGAGAGAACATTTTTTGCTTTTTCTTGATCATACAAACAATTAGAAAAATTTCGGAAATATTTGTCAAATAACAGACCCTTACTATGTATTTATTGAAATTCTTTTTCATTTCTTTTCAGCTATTCAATCCTACAGAGTTTTTCTCAAACATTGTTATCGAGCATGAGTATGTTTTTCTTCTATTTCTTTTTATTCTTCACATCAATCTATTGTCCCTTTTTTCTACACTGTGCATAATTTCCTTAAGATTAACAAATTTGGTGTTCTAGGTATATCGAATGTACTGCATCGGCAATCCAGGCTCTAGTATTGTTCAAGAAGTTGTATCCCAACCATAGAAAGAAAGAAGTAGAAAGTTTTATCTCAAAATCAGTGCATTATATTGAACAAATACAAATGCCCAACGGTTCATGGTATACCAACTCTGTTTCTATGCATAAAAGAATATTGTTTTAGATTAATGTAACCTGACATGAAATATACAACAGGTATGGAAATTGGGGAATTTGTTTCATCTATAGTGCATGGTTTGCACTTGGAGGACTAGCTGCAGTAGGGAAGACCTATGACAACTGTCCAACAGTTCGTAAATGTGTTGATTTTCTGTTATCAACACAAAAGGATTCTTGTGGCTGGGGAGAGAGTTATCTTTCATGCCCAAACGTGGTATATATTTACCTAAATATGTCTTAATGTTTTTATTTCTTGAATGAATTTTAAACTTCTTCTTTAATGAAATCTATCAAAATTTTCATTAGTGCCCTAATATTTTGAAAGCTTTAATACTTTTTTGATATTATGACAGCTAGTGATTGATATAGGGACTGTTTGGTGTGTCTTTTCATGCGGTTTTTTGACTGTTTACAAGCCGGGCAGACCGATTTTTGGTCTATTTCCATTTGGCTAGCGGATGATCTAGCCACCAAAAGCATGAGTACCAAAAAGATGTGAAAAGCCCATTTTGGGGATTTCGGGAAGCTTCAAATAAAACTTTTCATGTCTTCCATGTTTTATTCTTATGCAAAAAGACATGGAAAATGCACAGAAAGATGTGCATCTAACAAATGTGCTTTAAGCTATTCAGATCTTCATGCAAAAGCTCAATACATCTTTTTACTGTCAGAACTACCAGAAGATCTTTCCAAAAAGATGTGCCAAACAGGCCTATAATTTCTTTTAAAGAATAAGATTGAATTAAAGTTACACTTAGAAAATATTATTTTCACTGCTTTTTTCAATATCTTTCTCCTTTTCCTCTTTACACATTTTGTAAACAGTATTAGATTAATAAGTCTAAGACTTTGATTACTAGAAACCAAACTGATTCATATGATCAAAATAATCTATCTTAAATAATGTATTTTAAACCCTTTATAATATTACACCCTACAACAATGCTTTAAAGACAAAACATTGATATTCTTAGTGAGAGATGGTACTGAAAACTGAGAAAGTGTAAGGAAAACCGAAACAAATAGTTTCTCTTTATGAATTCAAAACCCAAAAATTGACTTATAATAAAGCTTTTAAAAGAAAAATGCAAATTTCGTTTCCACATAGACCACTACTTTCTATTTACTTTTTTCTAGGGCTGTGAATGGGTTAGACAGACCCAAATGAACCAAGTTGAACTGACTTATACATCCCAATTATAATTGGGTAGGGGTTGGTTTTGATTGTCCCAATAGGGTCTGGTTTAGAATTGGTTTTACATGTTTATTTATTGGGTCAGGAGCAAGTCAACCTTGACCCGGCCCAGACCAAACCCAAACCATTGACACACCATTCATGAATGACATATTTGGCTAACAACAGTGTAAGGAAAGTAAACCAAGCCCCAACAATGTAACAATGTTGGAGCCATTTTTCCAACAATGTTATAAATACCCAGACAATTAATAATGAATATTACAGTCAAAATTATTAAATATATAGCAGACACAGATTTTGATATTCTTTTTCATCTATACTTGTTTAACTACGCTTGATCAAACAGGAATACACTCCTCTAAAAGGTGAAAAAACAAATTTAGTGCAAACAGCATGGGCATTGATGGGTCTCATTCATGCTGGACAGGTCTCATTCATATAAGTTTTTTTTTTCTGCAAATTCTTTAAAAAGCACTGAGTTTCATTTTCCAAATATAAATATATTTTGTTTTCTCATGTAACCAGGCTGAAAGAGATGCAACCCCTCTACATCGTGCAGCAAAACTATTAATTAATTCACAAATGGAAAATGGTGATTTTCCTCAAGAGGTAAGAGATAACCAACTTTTCTATGATGATTTGAGGTTTGGGGCTAAAATAGATGATCAAGTCATGTTAAGTACAACATAATTTTGGAACTATATTTCTGTGTAATTGCATTTCATTCCATGTGAAAGGGGTGGTAAAATTATGTAGCAAAAAGTAAAAACTAAATATTTTAGGTTAAAATGTTTCCTGCTGCCAATTTTAAGATGAGAATTGTCTCTATTTTACTTCCAATGTTTTCTAAATAGTTTTAGTTGTTTACTACAGGAAATTACAGGAGTCTTCTTGAAGAACTGTATGATACACTATGCAGCATATAGAAATATATTTCCACTGTGGGCACTTGGAGAATATAGAGCACGGGTTCTAAAACCTTCCAAAAACCTCAAAAATTAAGTCCTAAATATTATACTGCATCTTTATTTCTATTTAAATAAAGTGATGATAATCTTCTCCTTTTGCTCTCATCTTCTTTCTCCAAATTATTGTACCCTATGTTTGGGGGTTTATAATAAGGCCAATGGATTTGAATGATGTTCATCCTATAAATCTAGTTGATAAATTAGTTCTTTACCATCTTTGACTTGATTTATTAAATCCTTCTACATTCCTGTTTTTCTCCTGCTAATGCAAATATTTCTAGGAACCAAATATCAAATGTCATAAATCGAGAACAAATGGCATCAAGCTCCTGCTAATTCAGGGTCTCGGAAGCTAGGAACAGATGTAACAAATAAGAATTACATGATTTAGGTTTAGTATATGTTTGGAAGCACCGTAGAAAACGGTGTCTTTTTTTTTGTTTGGAAACGTTGCTGCTAGGTAGGGCATTTCCTGGAGCAACAGCAACATCTTCTGTTTAGTATCAGTCCTTCATATCTGTTTTCAGGATTGGTACCCATTATAGGAAGTTCATGTCACTGCCACATCATGTCCTCATTGGTAGTAATGAGCTTCAATCTGAGAAAATGTCAAATTTGGGGTTACTCCAAACCACGCCTTCTCGATTTTCAACGTATGGCTTAAAGCACATTTTTTATGGAAAAACGGTTCGAAACATATTAATGTTTTTTGTAAGAGCACCAATTTTTCCAACGTAGCTAATAATGTGTCACCATTTTCTGGAGCAATGGCACCGGTTCCAAACACCACCCTAGTGAATGCAAAACAATGAAACATATAATTCATTAACTTGATGACTTAAGAATAATTGGATATTGCAAACATATGGATTAACAAGAATAGAACCTTGGTGATGAGTTTTCAGTTGAGTTTTAAGGGGCGCATGGAACTCAACAGTTCCTAGCTTGAGGAGTGATGATTGGATTAGTGGAAACCCTTGGCGTGATTTTTAAGAGTAATCCAGGGGTGGGGGTTGATATTCTGGTGCATCTGGAACTAACCCTGCCTTCAATCTTGTAGGGAGGTGGGGTCATGGTGGCTTTGGTGATATCGAATTTCGTCCTCACAAAATTGGTGCTCATACCATCCTGACAATACATGCAGCCATGCGTTGGGAACTTCAAATATTTGTATTTGTGTATTTTCATCCATAGGAAGATGTTCCCATGAATGGCTGAAAGGGTTGTGAGGACAGTGAGGATCAAATTTGTAAGGATGAAATCTACATTTGCTTTTGATAGCCTTACATTCATTGGAGTCCTAGCATAGTACGGAAATGAAACATATTCAGAAAAGCTTCAAAAAAAGAAAAAACTTGAACTATCAGGAATAAAAATTATTCATTGAATAATTAAGAGAAAATTCAATATCAAAAACTGTCTTAGCCTTCCCCTAGCTACTCTTTATATATGCATACACCCTTATGGCTCTTACAAGAAAGTTTTCTAATCTATGAAAACTCCTAAAAAAGAAAGCCTTAATTGATCAAACTTATTATAGGAAAACACTCTATAATAGAATCCTACAAAAACTCTTCAAAAAGAAAGTCCTAATTGAACAAAAATTCAGAAATCATAACATAATACTAATTTAGTAAATTCAAATTAGAATAGAAGTTCTGCATTGATATTATCTTGGTAAATTCGAACTAAGATGGAAATTCCATGTTGGCGCTAACTTGTTAAATTCGAACAAGAATAGAGGTTCTGCGCTGGCGCTAACTTGAAAATTGATTACTCGGTTGGATTAGTTATGTCATCTGAGCTTCTTATGTGTCTTGAAGTGATCCCAACTTGTATAGAACTTATTGGCCTTCTCCTATACTGCATTGTCGTTTCTGGGTTGGGGAGAATCTGTCATTGTATTCAAATCATCATCTGACTGATCACCAACATATGGTAGCAAGTGTTTGACATTGAAAACATCATGGGTATGTATATGGTTGGGTAGCTTTAGTCTATACGCATTCTCATTCATGACTTCAACTATCTCGCATGGTCCAACCTTCCTTGGTGCCAACTTTCCACGTTGTCCAACCAGTAGGCATTCCTCTATTAAAATGGCCCAAACATAGTCTCCCGCATCAAATACTACTTTCCTCCTATATGTATTAAGATGGGTCTTTGAAAACCAATTTTGTAAATGTTTATTCAGTTGTTCTGAATTCCATACAACACCATTCTTCCTGAGTTGGAGAGAATCCGACCTCAGATTCATGTTACCATTTAAGAAGCTGCCAACATATGTTGTTGCACTTCCATTGTGCTTCTTTGTTTCTAACCCTATGATAGATAATTGGTGATGTAAACCTTCAATATGAATTAAGATTTCTTCATTGTATATCTTAAATTTTGAAGTATATTTCTTGCACTTTACAAAACCTGAGTCTTCTTTTATTAACCCTTTTGAACACTGCAAGAGTGCTTGCCAATAAGGATCTTCGTAGACATGCATGTAGACAATGTGATCATGATCCCCAAGATGATAACTATTATCTCCATCATATTGAAATTCATAATGAATAATGGCATATTCCTCCTTAGTGATTCGTTTTTCATCATAGATTGGAGGTTTGTTCCAATCAACAAGTTTCTCTTCAAGAGATATTTTTAAGGAGAATGACCATACATCCTTTGGAACCTCTACACCTTTCAATTCAAACCCCTTGTCAATTAAAGCATATGCAACACCCGTCTCCTTTAAGGCATTGTGAATTCAGTCATGGCAACCGTTCCACCCATAGTACATGTGGTATGAAAAATATTATTTCTTAGCCAATCCAATGATTCATCCCTAGGAGTTAGGAATGATCGCTGCATCACCAAGGCCTCTCCCACATTCCCATACACCATTTCACCCTCTAAGGTTTCTTCATCATAAGGGTCAAATACAGGTAGGGTTGAATAGTCAAATGCTTCTAATTGGGTTTCACTCTCATCTTCTAAAAATATCATCCCTTTTCTTTTATCACCCTTCGCACATTCAACAGATTTATGGCATGGTTCAACACACTTAAAACACTTCAGTCCAGGTGGACCCACTTGGTTTTGATTAGGCCCATGTCCCTGGTTTTGGTTCAGCCCACGGGACTGTAGCTGAGTAGTTGAATTTAATTAGAGGCGGGTTGGGATTACTATGTGGGGCTGGTTTGGCCACATCAGTTTGGGTTCGGCCCAATTGGTTAGGTCAACTACCTTATTTTTTTAGGGTTAGAGCATGTTGATGTGCCATGGAAACATCATAGCAGTCAAATAGGTCTAATATGTCCCGAATATTTGCACCATGTTGCTGCTCATCCTCTGAATCGAATGGTTATTAAGGACATGATCTTATTTTCCAAATCTTCCTTGAATTCAAGGATTTCTTTTACCATGAAGCAAGGATTTAAATATCGACACAACACACCCGGGCATATCGTATCGGTACCAGTCATAAGAGATACAGGAAACGCTATGAATAGGTACCATCCTCTTAATCATCCGTATCGAAGTGATACGCATCAGTATTGGACTGTATCATATTGTATCATCGATACGGACCGATATATGGGTGATTCGCGTTTTCACACGTTCGCATATCTAATTTAAAAAAAGTAGCAGCTAGCGAAGCTTAAACTCAAGTCACTACGTATGAACGCATACTTGAACATGTTTGTATGCCACTAAGGCAATTGTTAGTGCTTATTAAAAAGTGAAACAAAATAATTCTTTATTAACGCTTACATGTAATCCTAACAAACAACATATATTTATCTTCAATAATTCTAAGTAAAGATTAAATAATAATATTTAAATTTAATATTTTATAAACTATGGAGTAAATAATTTCTCAAATCCGCAATCATATCAAAAAGTGGTTTTTAATGTCAAAAAAATTATACAAATATAAATATTAATAATAGAATAATAATTTTAGTACTTAAAATTTATAAATTTGAATGTGAAATGTATCTTAAAAATTTTATAAATTATTAATTAATATTTTAATTTGCATTAAATAAAAATATATTTATTATTTACAAAAATGACAATTTATTTCATAAAATTATAAAATAATAATATAATAAGTTAATTAATTAAAAATTATTAATTTGCATACGATATGTATCTTAGAAATTTTAGTTTATTTGAGAGAGTTTAATTTAATATTATATGTTTTTATAAATTATTAATTGATATTTTAATTACATTTTATAATAACATTTTTATTGTTTACCAAACATTTGAGAATTAATTTTTAATTGATTATTTAGTTAATGTTAAAATGTAAGAATATAGAAATAAAAATAATTGATACAATAATTACATATAATAGTTGAATGTGTTTTGTGACATGAACTTCAATTGAAAATAAAAAATAGCTTTGTACATGTATTAATTTGAGAAAATTTATATAATATATTTTAGGATTCTAGATTGATACATTATCAATAAAAATTGTATGATTTCAATGCATCCCGCTATATTAATTGTAATATATTTATTCACAAATACCATTAGAATATACATTTCCTATGCATTTATACATTAATTTTGACTATTTTTTCCTTAAATGTTATGTTATTAATATATTTATGGAATTTATATGCATTTCCTGATGTATCCAAGCATCTCTATGTTTTTTCATCCGTATCCATGTGCTTTCAAATCATATCCATATTTGTATCTGTATTCAAGTGGTCTGATACAATATCTGATACCGATACTTTAATCCTTAAAGCCAATCCATGAATTCTTTTGGAATCATGCCTCCTTGGAATTTCGGGATCTCAACCTTGAGATCTGCTTTCCACCATCTCCGGTCACCACCTACAACTATAGCCGATCTGGTTGCTTACCTTGATGATGAAAGGGAACATTTGGGGATACTTGCGTCGGAGTCACTGTTCCCTCACAGCAATTTCAACTCCTGAGCAAGTGTCTTAACTTGCCTTCTCAGCTCTACTATCTCTCCTTGCGTTTTGTAGTTGGGTTTCTGCTCTATGGTGTGAACTACTTGTTTATTCTTATGAGCCATAATCCGAAGAATTATCAAACATGAGCTCTGATACCAATTGACACAAT